ACATGAGAGATGGGAGATTCAACCTTCTGTTTAATAATGTTTGTCTTGAAGACCTCATCTAATCTCTCCTTATGGGTGCTAGTTATACTAGATATCCTGCTTTTTATCACAGTTGATTTCTAAACATTACATTGCCAAGCAAAATGGTGTGTACTAGAAAAAAAATGTAATGGTAAAAAGGAAAGAATTTTGGAGTAAGGCCTCAACTCTCCTACTTACTGACTGACTCTACCCGGTAATTATCTCAGAGGATTTTCGAAGGTCTGACTTTGACAATTCAAGTGAAAGACATGGCAAGGTTAATGGTTAAGTGCTCTGTTTTATTTTCTCTGTTTTATTTATTTGAATTTACTTTGGCCTTCTCTAATGTGTAATATTTAAAAACCAGAGGAATGTGAAAATCATACAAATCAAGGAAGGGAAAATAAGGCAGATATATTTGTGACAAAAAGTATGTCTAGGTTCTTCTGGATGCTAATAAAATAAGTCCAATAGAAAACAGGGTGGTAAAGTTAACTGAAGTAGATCTGTGTTCATATTCTATTTATTCTGTCTCTTGTCTAAAGCCCATTTCCAGTTGGAGCTGCCTATAACACTCCCCTTTGTTCTTAGTATATACTTGTCATTGACCTTAAAACTAATCTCTTTCTGTTTTGGGGAAATTCAATACTTTGTTCCAGCAACTTGTTGCATTTCTAAGTCATTTCTAGCCTATGGAGTCTAGTTTTTAATCTTACTCAAGGATCATAATGTTCACAACCATTAACTACTCTTGGTTCAGTTTCTACTCATCCTTAAATTTTTTTCCCTCTAGTTGTTATTTCTGTTCAGTTCTACACTGAACCATGGGTTCATTACTAGCAATGAAACATGAAAGTGATCAGAATTCACATGTGGAGGCAGGAGGGAGTTGAGGAAAGGGAGAGTAAGGAAAAGGACTAATATTGACCTTAATTATCTAGTGGTAAATCATTGGGCACCAGTTCCTGATAAGGGTGATCAAAGGAGTTACATCTGTTCAGCTCTGTCCATGGTAGAAAACCAGCAACTCAATTCTTAACCTAGCCGTTTATCAGGTATCTGCCCTCATAGGCAAGCTTTCTGAGCTCCTACTGTAAAGAAATGCAAACTGATGCTCATTGAATTTCCCAAGAACATGAAAGGATTGTTAGCTCCTTTGATTTAGAGTCACAGTTTCCTGAAAACCAGTCCACTATCCTGTACTGTCACGTAGTCTCAAGGTTCCATCAGTTCAGAGCTCCTCCTTTGCCTGGTCTCAAGGACATAGGACCAGTAATACCGGACTGTCAACTGAAGTGATAGCTTCCTATCAAGGATGAGTATATTTTAGAAATTAGGTAACATTTCATCAAAAGCCAAGTCCCTGATATTCATCACTTTCACCTTTTTTAGATATTCTATCAGGTATTTCCCTTCATATTTCAAAATAGTAGCCTTATACAACTATTCTGAATTCTTAAAAGTTTAGTCACAATATAAACTTGATACTCCACAAGATGAGAATTTAAAATTCTCTTCCCCCTCTCTGCCTCAGTTTAATTAGATCATATGGTTTAGTTTGAAAGATTTTATTATAGCTATGTGAGTATATATTATACTATGATTACATTTCCTGAATCACTTTCCTGGAGGTAATACTGCTCATTTTTTTTGCTTTGTTTTCTGTGTATCTGTCACTAATTCTTTCCAGATTCCCACCCAAAAGATTATAAAAACCTCTGCATACTGTTTTCTTCATAGTCAGCTAGTATACAGTATTTCCAGCCCTCCAATTCCATGCACACTTCCAAGATTTCTGTTGGAACTCTGTATTTTTTTTTTTTTAATCCAGGTGAGTTGTATGTTCTTTCTCGGTTGACTGGATAAAAATTCTGCATTACAGTTATCTACATATTTAGAGAGCATAACTCCCTTCTAGATTCTGGTTCTAGATTCCCTTCTAAATTGCTGATAAGAAGCCTCGTGCTGTTGTATATATAGGATGTCAAATATTTTATTTTTAACTTTTTCTATGTAATGCCTAGGAGTTTTTTGTTTTAATCCACAGTGCTTTGAAATTTAATGCTGTTGAGTGGGTTTCCTAAATATTCATTGTGCTGAGCACTCAGGCCATGTCACTGTAGATTTTTTGGTTTTAGTAAACCTTTTATTATATTCCTTGTTTTTGTTTTTAAGCTCCTATTAATTGTATTTTGCACCCAATTAGATACTGGGCCCTTAAGCTTTTGCTTTATTGTTCACCTTTATTCTATTTACTAGTAGATTTCTACCCACTCTTCTGCCTTTTTTTTTTTTTTTTTTTAAGATTTATTTATTTATACATACAAGAGCTGGGGTACAGGCCAGAAGTGTGGGATGTGAAAGCATTCATCAGAGACAGTTTGGGAAACAGAACAGGCAGATTGACCGAAGTACACTGCTGAGGGGAGAAGCCGGTGAGCCAGGAGAGGTCTGCTGCGCCATGTGGGTTGCTCCCTGCCTGGGGCCAGGGCCATGGAACTTGTGCTGCAGAGGCTGCTAATAGCTTCATAGGTTACATAGGTTACATCTTAACCCCTTGTGCCACCACGGAGGCCCTATTCCTACTTTTTTAGTAATGTTTCAATGTTTGGGATATCATTTTTAATTTTGAAGGACTTCCCTACACTCTGTCCCTTAAAAAAAAAAAAACCTGTTTCATGGTTGAATTATTTTTTTTTAAGATTTATTTTTATTTATACAGGAAGTGTGGTAAAAGTCAGAGGCGCAGGAGGGTGAAACAATTCACCAGAGAGAGTGGGGAGCAGAACAGGCAGACGGACCAAAGGCACTGCTGAAGGGAGCAGTGGGCGAGGCAGGAGAGGTCTGCCACGCCATGTGGGTTTCTCCCTAGCTGGCTGGGAATCAAACCCGCGCTGCAGAGGCTGCGGACAGCTTCATAGCGCAGCGTTCAACCCACTGCGCCACTGGGGAGGCCCTTGAATTATCTTTTAATAGGATGTTACAGAATATTTTTAAAAACTACTTTTTTCTGTTTCCTTCAAATTACAAACAAAAATGTTTTGGATTGTGCTTGTGAGTGAGTCCCAAAGCTAGCTAGAGAGGATGCCATACAACAGCATCTGAGCTATTTTTCTAATGTCTTTCATTTGCTGACTTTCTCCAGGAAAAAAATAGGATTTTGAAGATAGGCTGATGGGGGCTAAGGGGAAGCAGAGAGCAGACTGACATTTCCCAATGCAATAGGAAAACTTTCGCTCTTGTACCTCTTTCCAGCCTTTATTAGCTGGTCTATCTAGCTCCCCTCTGATTCCTCTCTTCAACATCAGAAACTAGTCTTGATGTGAGGAAGAATAGGTAAGGGCAGAGTTGTACTGGAAATGTTATAGGGCAGCTCCGATACAAAACGGGTTGTCTGACTGTGGGTCCTCACCCGAGCGCTTAAAAGGACTTACCAATACTCTAATGCAGGCACACATGAAAGATTAATAAAAGGTTTATTTACAAGGGAAGGGCAAATAAGGAAATGTACAACTCAAGGAGAAAAGTGGGAGACAGTTTTAAATGCGTCCTACCCGATCCGCTTATCTGGAATCCCAAATGGCACTCTGAGAGCTGGCCGTAAGCCAGGAGCCATGAAGCCAGGAGGCGAGCAAGAGAGTGAGCCCCCCAAGGCCCACATGTTTGGTTTTTATAGCAAACCTGGCTGCTTAACTCAGGTCCCAGCCACCTTCCTTTTGGTGGTGACAGGATTTGTCTTTCCCAATGTCTTTATGGCTTTGGCTGGAGTGGGGGTGGAGTCCACAAAGCCTGCATGGAATTAGCTCAGGACATCCTTTCCCCCTAACAGACAGGAGACAGGGCTTGGGTGTTTGTTACTTACCACAGACTTTTAAGCAATCTCACTTTTAATTTTGCTTCACTGATAAACCCTCCCTTCTAGCTTTCAGGCATCTTGGAGTTCCAAATCCTCTCTAAGGTTTTGCTTTGTAAATTTACTTCTCTGCAGGCAGTATGCCCTGGTCTTACTTATCCTGTAGGGAGGCAATCTGGGGTTCAAAATAACTTCTCAGAGTGGACTTAATCTGTAAAATATATCTTAATCTTTGAAGTTTTTAAAGGGTTGAATAATATGAATAAAGCAGCTAAATGAATGTCTCCCACATAGTGAAGATTAGATCAGTATTACTGCTCTTGCAAGAATCTGTTGGCATTTCCTGTGCAGACATCTTTTTGTCTTTGTAGGTTTATTCCTTAAAAAAAATTCTTACTGTCATTTAAGTAAGGCTGGTGAAGAAACGAAGGTACATATATTAGTTTTTACTTGAAGTCTAGTTTTTAGATTTTTGTTAAATCCGTATTCTATCTTGGTGACTTTGGGCATTTCCAATAGGCTAATCTGAATTACCCAGCTCCTCAGAATCCACCTGATTATCTTAGTGGACTTCAGCAAGGCAGTATCTCCTAATCACTTTCTATGGAGAGTCCCGAATGGTGCCCTTACTAGCTGCATGATCTTTGACAAGCCGTCTGGCACTTAGGTAGGGGCTTGAGATTGATGACAAAACTCTGTAATTGCCCATGGCTAAGAAGTTGGGTGCCAACTGGAGGTTTTCTTCGAAATATACCACTCCTGGCCTAGACAGTATCTCTCACCAGGGGTTAAAGGAAGGGGGTAGGAAACGGGGATTCCTGAGGGAGCAGTCTGCGCCCAATTAGCTCCGCCCTGGCGTCTTTCCGGGTACTTGGAGAGCTGCTTGCCCCGGGGCCCTAAGGGAGGGGGCGGGGTGGGGGTGGGGTGAAGCGGTAAATTAGATGCCCTCAACAAACATGGCCGCCACGTAAGCTACAAACCCGCTCGGGAGGTCGCGCTGCCGCCTGGGAATCGCGGACGCGGCGTCACCCGGCGCGGAGCCACGTGACGCGGGAGGGCGCCGGAGGCGGCTGGATTCGCGCGGCGGGGCAGCCCGGGAGACCTGAGTGAGGCGGGGGCTGCCTGGAGAGGTTTCTTGGCGGGTCCGGGCGTCGAGTGACGACTTGCCCGCCTGCTCGCGCTCACCGTCCCGAGCGCAGCTGGTGAGTCGGGAGGGGGTGCGGGAGGCAGCGAGCGTCCCCGCGATCTCGGGAGGAGCTGGGCCGGGCCGGCCTGCTGCGTGCTTCTAGCCTCGTCTTCACGCCGGATGCGGGTCGCGGGGCCAGTTAGAGCCTGAGCCCACCTGGAGGCTCCCGCCGTGCAGGTGACCACAGGGCCTGACTTCCCGGTGCCGGCTCAGAAGGCTCCACAGATTTTCGGGGTCGAGGCTACCCCTTGGGGTTCAGCGAATTACCGTGTTTTCCCTAAGGAGTGGAGCTGGAGCGAGTTGGGCACCTTCAGTCCTTTAAAATACGCCGGCTTGAATTCAAATGCAGGAACCAGGCAGTCTTTTTCCCGTGTTTTTGTACCATATGGCCCATCACGAGGCAGCCGGTTAAAGGAGACCCACTCTTAAAGGAAGGAAAAGGTTAAAACGGCTTAGTATGGTCAACTTAGGGGAGATTCTCTAGCTTTGACAATTTGCTAACCTACTGGTCCGTGTGGATTTTGAAAAATCATTTTATCTTGACTTTCTGAACCTTGTATTACAATTTCTCTACAGGCAATCCCAAACTACTTCATTTTAGCCTAACCCAAAACACACCTTTGACCCCATGACCTTCAGGCTGAAGAAATGAAAGTCCAAAGAATCCAGTTTCCTAGGAAAGAGTTTAGAAGTATAACTATCATCCCTTTCCTTAGCCGGCAGAAGAGGGAGTCACTCCAAAATCAGACATGTAGAAGCCAGGTTTATAGACTTGGGCTCCTTAAGCTTCGTTGCTAGACTGGAGTCTTACACTCCTCAGTAAAGAGTTGATTGCAGTAATTTTAACGACTTTGAATTTGTGTGTTTCTTTTTATAGGGAAGGAATAATGCTGTCAGCATGTCTGCACACTGCATGCTCAGTGAACGAATTACCATAGCCAAGGAACTGATCAAGAGAGCAGAATTACTTTCTAGATCAAGAAAAGGTGGCATAGAAGGTGGTGCGAAGCTGTGCAGCAAATTAAAGGCAGAATTAAAATTCTTACAGAAAGTAGAAGCTGGGAAAGTGGCTATTAAAGAATCCCATTTACAGAGCACAAATCTAACACACCTAAGAGCGATTGTGGAATCAGCAGAAAACCTGGAAGAAGTTATTAGTGTTCTCCATGTTTTTGGTTACACAGATACCTTGGGAGAAAAGCAGACCCTTGTGGTGGATGTAGTTGCAAATGGTGGTCATACTTGGGTGAAAGCCATTGGCCGAAAGGCTGAAGCTCTGCATAATATTTGGCTGGGCAGGGGCCAGTATGGTGACAAAAGCATCATTGAACAGGCTGAAGACTTTCTCCAGGCCAGTCACCAGCAACCAGTGCAGTATAGCAACCCTCATATCATCTTTGCCTTTTACAACAGTGTTTCCAGCCCCATGGCAGAGAAGCTGAAAGAAATGGGCATTTCTGTAAGAGGTGACATAGTAGCAGTTAACTCTCTGTTAGATCATGCTGAAGAGCTCCAGCCAAGTGAGAGCGAATCAGATGATGAAGGGCCTGAACTTTTACAGGTGACCAGAGTAGACAGAGACAATATACTAGCAAGTGTTTCGTTTCCAACAGAGATTAAGGTGGATGTGTGCAAAAGAGTAAATCTAGACATCACTACTTTAATTACATATGTATCTGCTCTCAGCTATGGGGGCTGCCACTTTATCTTCAAAGAAAAAGTGCTCACAGAACAAGCAGAGCAAGAGAGGAAAGAGCAGGTTCTACCACAGCTCGAGGCTTTTATGAAGGACAAGGAGTTGTTTGCTTGTGAATCTGCTGTCAAGGATTTTCAGTCTATCCTAGATACCTTAGGAGGACCTGGAGAGAGAGAGAGGGCTACTATGCTAATTAAGCGAATTAATGTGGTGCCAGATCAGCCCTCTGAGCGTGCCTTGAGACTGGTGGCCAGTTCAAAGATCAATAGTCGCTCATTAACGATTTTTGGGACTGGGGACACCCTAAAAGCTATCACAATGACTGCCAATAGTGGTTTTGTCCGAGCTGCCAATAATCAGGGTGTTAAATTCAGTGTGTTTATCCATCAGCCCAGAGCACTTACTGAGAGCAAAGAAGCTCTAGCCACCCCCTTAGCAAAAGACTATACAGCTGACAATGAACACTAATGTCACCCTTTAAATATTCTCATGGAAATAAGTTATTTATACCAAAGGCTGTGTCTTTCCACCTTAAGTAGCTAAAAAAGGTCTAGTAAAATAATACTACAACTCTAATAAGTAGAGTTGATTGTGTTTCATCTATAAAGTATGTAGCCTTCTAAAAGGAAAATCCTGAGACAACCTAATATATCAAACTATATATAGCAGTTAAACAATACGTCTATATAAGGCTTCTAGCTGTATCACAGTACTTTTGTTTGATTCAGTAGGGCTACAAATCCTTTACAAGTAATCGCATTTCATGGAATATGGCTACATTGCATCATGCATTAAATATTTGAAGAAAACTGAAGCTTGTTTTTCATTATATTATTTTACCAGTTGATGTGGGTTATGGTGGGAGGTACTAGTTTATCACTAATTTTAGATTCAAAAGCTGTGACTATTAATGAAAAGAACCTAGTGTTGTGTGTCAGTTGTGGTCTGGTGAGTATCTTTACAGAGTACATTAATGTAGAAAAAAATATGGATCATATGAACCTATTGATAACACCTTTGTGAAAAGAAAAACAATTCTGTGAACATATAACATTTAAGGTAAAATATTAACTTGAACAAATTGAAAATGGATTGCATAAAACACTTAAAGAATTCACATTTTATACATGCAAATAGTGCCCATCTTGTATTTGAATTAACAATATACATTACCTGTTCTTTCTGCAGGTGGCATGGGACAACTGCTCTATGTCTGTCAAAGAAGTGGCAAGGGAAATTCAGTGCCAGTTGCATGACATAAATTGAATATTTTTATGTTCACATTGCATTATTAATTTGCAACAAAAATTGGCAAATTTCCAAAATGTTATAAATTGGGGAATTGAATCTTAAATTTTAATTGAAAATGTAGAAGCCAGTATTATAACTTGATTTTTATCTCCCACATTGTAACCTCTTTCTAGAATGTCAAAGTACTATACCTACTTGATGAGAAGGGAAATTCAGTTTCTAGCAACAGTGTTGGGGGGGGGATGGAATTTGATGTTCCATGAATGTTCTGAGACAAAATGCAAAATTAATTATATGGGGTTTTCTCTTGGAGATATTGTATTACTAAGAACACGTTTCTTGGGGGAAAGGCTATGACTGGTTTCCAATTTAGTTAGAGAGGTTTATTCAACTTGCAACTGTAATTGTCTAGTATTTGAAATTGAACTTAGGTTTTGTTGAGCACCTATTAAAGTCTTGGTATTAGAAGTAAGGAGCATTATAATAAGTGTGAAAAATGAGTGATCTTTGCTGTAAGGAATGTTTGGTCTGAAATTTCAAAAGAGTGGAAGTAAACAACTGAAGCATAGTTAATGTACTAAGGGAATTAGGTTTACTATGCAAAAAGTGTAAGAGTAATTCTTGCTGTGAGGTCAGGAAGTTAGAAAGTGACGTTTGAGGGTTTTTTTTTTTTTTTTTTGTGAAAGATTATAAAGTGTGTACTGGGAGTGTAATTTGGAAAGGTCACACAAAAGTGTGACCATGAGTGTTTGTTCAGAATCCAGGATCATGTGAACATGTTATAAAGCTGGAAAAGTGAAAACTCTAAAAGGTTTGGCATTAGAGTCAGTGGCACGTTTTAAGTAAGGATGGCTCATGATCAGATTTCTGAGGAAGTCAAAGACTTGTACAGTAGAGGAAGAATTTAAGGAAGGAAAGACAGACTATAATAGCCTTGGCTAGAGCAGTAATAATGAAATGTAAAGTGATGGATATATGCTGGATTTGTGCAAGGAAAAAAATAACACTCATTTAATATACTTTTATTGGGTGCCTTTCATATACCAGATAGTGTGAAAAGCGGAGCTTTCAAAGCATAGGAGGGGAAGAACACTTATGTCAGTGCCCTCTTATGAATTGATACCTAAGAGCTTGGAATCTTTGCCAACTAGAAAGTACAGCTTCGGCACTTTTTTGAGGAAACTCTTCTGAAGTGACAACAGCTATGCTCCCCTCATGACCATTGTTTTTGTGCAGACAGTCTGTGAGTGCAATTCCTTTTTTTTTTTTTTTAAAGATTTATTTATGCGCACAAGAGCTGGGGTACAGGTCAGAGATGCAAGGGGTGAGAGGATCCACCAGAGACAGAGTGGGAAACAGAACAGGCAGACTGACTGAAATACACTGCTGCAGGGAGCAGTGGGCGAGACAGGAGAGGTCTGCACCATGTGGGTTTCTCCCTGGCTGGCCGGGGATGGCACTGGTGCTGCAGAGGCTTTGGATTGCTTCATATTGCGGTGCTTAACCCCTTGTGCCATCAGGGAGGCCCCTGTGAGTGCAATTCTTAACAATATAATCAATACTGCAAGCAATAGATGAGGTTGAGGGGTTTGGCACTGGATCCTGGAATGTAGTGCATGAAACAGTGCCTTCTTTAGAAGTATACACAGACATAGACAGACTTACACAGGTCTCCACATGTCAAAGACCTCCAACTTGCCAAAAGATAAAGAAAGGTAAAAAAATGAGGAAAATAGTTTGAAAAATTATAAAAAAAACATCCAATTGAAGATCTGTTAAAAACTGTCAAAGGAATCTCAGCAAAAGGTTATGAAAAGTGAAAATTTGTCTGTGATTATAACTAGGAAACAAAATCCTCATTTAGAAAGGTGTGGACAACAACTTTGAAATTTTTGCTATTGAAAAATAGAACACTGGGGCCTCCCTGGTGGTGCAGCGGTTGAGTGCTGGGTTGCGAAGCTGCCCGCAGCCTCTGCAGCGCCGGTTCATTCCCAGGCCGCTGGGTGAGGGTCCCACGTGGCGCTCAAACCTCTCCTGCCGCCTGCTGCTCCCCTTAGCAGTGTACTTCGTCAGTCTGCCTGTTCTGCTCTCTGCTCTGGCTCTGATGAATTCTCTCACCCTCCCGCGCTTCTGACTGTACCAAGTGCTTGCATAGATAAATAAATATATCTTAAGGAAAAAAAAAAGAAAAATAGAACACTGATTTTGGGTATCATGGGAAATGAAACTGATTGTATAAGTTAAACCGAGTTAAATCATTTATTTTTTTTTAAAGATTGATTGATTTATGCATACAAGAATTGGGATATAAGCCAGAGGATTGGAGGTTGAGAGGATTACTAGAGAGAGTGGGTAGCAGTGCAGACAGATCTACTGAAATACAGGGCTGAGGAGAGCAGCAGGCCAGACAGGAGCGGTCTGCAGTGCTATGTGGGTTAGCTCCCTGGCCAGGGATCGAACTCTTGCTACAATAGCTTGATAGCGTGTATCTTTAACCTCTGCACCACCAGGCAGGTCCCAGTTAAATTACTTTTAAATGAGGAGCAAAGATGGAGAGTAAATGCAGTGCATGTGGGGGAAAAAAACATTTCAAAAAAACTCTTGATAAATAATTAAAAACAAGAAAGAAGAGAGCTGTAAGACCAAGAATATAAAACAGCATTGGAGAGTACTACTTATATAAAACGCACTATGTTATTTTGATAAATTTGGAAATAATGAAGCATGATTTTCTTAAGGAATTAGAACTGAAGAACTAGAAATTGTTTGAAATTAATATTAAGTAAAAATATGTAAACTTGAGAATATCAATATAGTTACTTCGAAATTTGCGAAACATTTCCATATTTGTACTTTGAAGTACCCAGAAGAAATAACAGATGTGGAGTTTGTTATCTTTTCTGTGTTAAGGTACCAGTAGGAGTTGGGGATGGATATTTTATTGGCTCTTTGTTCTGTATGACTTAGAGAAGGGAATGTGGGGAAAATGACTCTGATAGAAGTCATTAATAGCTTTAATCATAACTTGAATAGTTAGATCATAAATTTTGTGAACCATTAATGGACTTTTAGGAAGTTCGCTGTGCATTGCTATTATAAACAGTCTGAAAAACAACCATCACTAGGGTTATAACTTGTAATTGTCTAAAATGAGAAACTTCTAAAATTCAAAGAGGATGCTATGAAAATGGAAGTGGGCTATATTGGGAAAATTGGACATCATTCTTGGCCCCCAAAACATTCCTAAAAATGGAATTAAAATAATGAAAGTTAAATTCTACATTTTGAAATTTATTGCTGAATTGCTTTCCAATAAATGGTATCAATTTATAACTGCATAAATGGTTTGTATACAAGGTCTTTAATGCACAAACTCACCAATGTTGAGTATTACACATTCTTTTGAAAATTTTAATAAGTTAATTGTATTTTATTATCTAAAAGAATATACACTTAATTATGAGTGAGGTTGTTAGTTTACTGGTTATTTACATTGCATTTGTTCTGAGTTCTTTTAATTTTTTTGTCCATTTTTCTTTTTCACTTTTCTATTTCTTTATAGATGTTCCTTGTCTCTAAATTAGTCTTTTATTTATTATGTATCACTAAATTTTCTAGTTTGTCATTTGTTTCTTTCAACTGAGAAAGTGAAATTTTGCTACCTTTCCTGTTTCTCCTGAGCACACATGTAATTCAAAACTTTCAGTTTCCTCTGAAGTTAAATGGGGTCATGGGATATGGTTGGAAGTGTGATACAGCACTTCCAGGCTGAACTTTAAAATTTCTTGTGTGATCTCTCTCTTATTCTTGTCTATGACCAGATATAAAAGATTCTGTGGAAGACTCAGCCTGGGAGTTGGTAGAGGCAACAATGAGAGAAACTTGTTCATAATGGCCATGGTGAGCAGGGTCTACCTGCCTTGCATTTGATGGTGATTTGAGCAAGAAATAAAAACTAGATGAACCCCGGACAAATTCACATTTATCTTGGTTAATAGTATTTTGGCTTAGAGATGGTTTACATTTAATATAATCAAATTAGCAAACTTAGCTTTCTGGGTTCTGTGTTAGACTTATAAAAGGCTCTTATAATTACTTATTAGGGAAATGCAAATCAAAACCACAATAAGATGAGATACCACCTTATATCTTTGAGAATGACCTATGTCTAAAAATCAGAACCAACAGGTGTTAGCAAGAGTGTTTGTAGAAATGTAAATTGGTTGAGCCCCTATGGAAAACAATATGGAGAGTTCTCAAAGATTAAAAATAGATCTACCATATGATTCAGCAATTCTACTCATAAGTATCTACCCAAAGAATATTAAAATACTAACTTGATACATGGCATATATGAGATATATGAACTCTTTGAATCATTGCAGCACTATTTATAATAAGTCATGTAAACAACCTAAGTGCCCAATGACAGTTGGGTGGATAAAAGTGTGGTTTATCTTTAGTCATACTTAATGGAATACCCAAGAATAGGATTACTGGATCACAGGGTATTTACATTTTTAGATTTTTAAGGTAAATCCAGATTTCTTACCATAAT